TATTAATATAATAACTAATAGAATAACAAAGCTATATAAGAGGATTATATTTAAAAGATTCTATAGAATACTGGGGTTAATAGTATAACTAAAGAGAATATAAATAGAATTTATAAAAGAATAATCTCAATAGAAAAGTATTGGAAATTGAGATTAAAAGGAATCATATATATATAAATATATAATTAATAAAGGCATTAAATAGTTTCCTTATTAAGATAATAATCTTAGATGAGAAAGAGAGTTTAACTTTATTAATATAACTTTTCTTAAGATAGTCAATAATACTACTACTTCTACTACGCTATAGAGCATCACTTTCTAATATATAATCAATTATCTAAAAGTGATCGATAGTATTAACTCCGATATCGTAGGAATAGTTGCAAAAATATATATTCTTTACCGGTATTTAATTTATTAAAATGATATTCAATTGATTTTGATATAATATATTAACAAAGCTACTACTATATCGAAGTTACTAAAGATCGGAGTTTAATACTACCGATCACCTAAGATTATAGTGATCGATCAACCGAATTTTTCGATTATCCCGAAAATAGGATATAATGCTGAGTTGTAAGACAAATAGAACAAGCTTTTAGTCTATCAAAGTCATGAGTCTGGTGGCGCAGTGGCAGAATACTGTGTTATCACTTCCCTGAACTTGTGGATGGACTAAAGGTGGAGATATCCTCTTCGGATTCGAAGCCTTATCCGAAGGGTTAGACAGTCAGTATACGATGGAGGTGAGCGACCTGAAGAGGTGGGGTGATGTTGATTTATGCTTGTATTGTCCACAGCCCAGAATAGCAATATCTTTGCATCGATACTGTGATGAGCGAATGGCAAGGAGCCAGACAGCACATTTTTTTTTAGATTTGGACTTTTTGTTATTTTTTAAATTAAAGAACTTTTGAAGATATTTTTTTTTAATTCTTTTCGAACATTATTATTCTTTTTTTTTTAAAAAAAAATAAAGTTTTCTTTAAGATTTTAGAAACTAATTCTCTATTTGAGAAGTTTTTTATATAAACATGAAATTAAATTGAGTTTTAAAGTTTGAAAAAGCTATTTTATCTTGGGAATTAGAGTTTGAAGTTAGTTAATAGTAGTGGAGTAATGATAATATCGCGCGGTTCCAGATACAAGTATCGATGTAAAGCGCGAATCTCAATAATATATCTCTATTGTATTGAACTTCTATTTTGGATACTGGTTATAGCGAAGAACCACGTCTGTGTGCTTTTTAAGATATATGATGATGGATTAAGGTCAATTACTCCCTTAGATCTTGGAATCTTTTTGGAGCGTTACTCTCATTTTTGCCTATTCACAAATTTCGCTACTTGGCACACCAACCTAATTTGGAAGGTCTTCACCTTATCGCTTTCCCAACTTCCTAGATACCGGGCTTGGTGTTGTGCATCTCGACTTGCAGATATGCAGGTAGTTTCTTTTCCTCGTGATGAATTGTTGAGGTTACCAACTTCCTGAATGCCGGGCTTAGTGTTTCGGCATTGGGTTTGTAGATGCTCGAGTGGTTTTTGGTTATCTGGGGTTGGGAGTTGGTGTGTTGTTTATTCTCAACCTTCCTAAAGTGCTAGGTCTCTTATTGAGGGATGAGATTTTCAGGTACGGGAGGAGCTGCTTGAATGAGAAGGTAGGGTGTGTATATGAATACAGCTAAGATGGCCAAGTTTGCCAAGTGGTTCGCGATCGTGAATAACTTCTTTCACATACCTGTTCCCGAATAAGTGAATGTGGACCGCAGTATACCGCAGTATGTGAGGGGAATATTGAAGTGGGAAGCCACAATATGTACGCATATATATATATATGTGTGTGTGTGAGCATCTGTTCAAATCTTCAGGTCACTCTATCGCTCCTCGATCGCCGCCATGAAATTCACATATTTGTACTACATCGCGGGTCTCGCACCCTTTTTATCACAAGCATGTCTCCTCCCCGAAGAACTCGAAGGAAAACCACGAATTTTACGTCGTCAGACTAGTAATGGACTCGCTATCGGAACAGGTGATCGCTACAGCGCGGGAACCATTGCACCACGGGGTGTAGGTTCTCAAACCACCACCGTGACCACGCTTTTGAACGTTAATGAGATTACGAGCGGTATTAAAGGTCTGGCAAAGGTTTACGGTATTACCACTTTCAACACGCCATATACGACTTATAATGGTGCTTCTATTACTGGTGCCAAAGTGGGAGGAAACGGAACATGTAATGATGCAATCCGGGTGTGTTTGAATGCAGCCATTCATGCGAGAGAGCGAGGTGCTTCCGATGGCTTGTTGTTTTTCATTGGAGATCTCTTGTATGCCAACAAGAATGGTCTCGGTTTGAAATTTGGCCCGAAGTCTTACACCAATGCTCAGGTGGTGACGGCGCTGTCAACTGGAATTGTCTTTGTTCCTCTCAGTAACCCTGACGGGGTGGCTTATGATCAGTCTACCAATAGCTGCTGGCGCAAGAACCGAAATCCAAAGTCGGGAACTGGAACCTCTGCTGGTGTAGATTTAAATCGTAATTTTGACTTTTTGTGGGATTTAACGAAATTTGCGACGAGTGTTCGATCGCAAGTCGCATCTACCAGTCCTTCATCTGAAGTATTCCACGGTACGTAATATTTCTGAAGCCTCTCTCTCCAAAGATATCTCATCTGAATTGACCTCACTTTTAGGTACCGCCGCCTTCTCCGAGCCTGAAACCCAAAGCATCAAATGGGTAATGGACACCTACTCCAAGATCCGCTGGTTCGTCGACCTCCACTCCTACGCCGGCGACGTGCTCTACTCCTGGGGCAGCGATACCAACCAGGTCGCGTACCCCAACATGAATTTCCTCAACTCAACCTACAACTCTGTTCGGGGCATCCTAACCGACACACCTGGCTCCGGTTCCGGCTACGGCGAATACACGCCCGCGGCTGAAAATACCGCCAACAAAGCCGCCGCTACCAAAATCGGTGCTGGTATGAGTGCTGCGGCTGGTCGCACATATGGTGTTCTTCCGGCTGCGGATTTGTATCCGACGAGTGGTGCGAGTGATGATTATTCCTACTCGAGACATTTTGCGGACACGTCGAAGAATCTGATTCATGGGTATACGGTGGAGTTTGGGTTTGGAAATTCGGCGTCTTCGTGCCCGTTTTATCCGACGCAGGCCCAGCATAATTCTAATTTGCAGGAGATTGGGGCGGGGTATATGGAGTTGTTGTTGGCGGGGGTTAGTTTGGGGTTGGGGGATGCGACGGTTTGTTAGGGGGAAGAGGGGAGAGAAGGACAGATGGAATGGGACGAGGATGAGGATGGGGATGAGGATGAGTGTTGGAGGGGCGGAAATGAGATTTTACTGTTGGTTGTGGTCAAGTGATATGAAATATGGATACAAGTAATCCGAATATTGGACTAATTTCATATCAATTCATTCATTCATTCATTCATTCTTTACCCATTACTACACAGTACTGTGATAACCCCTCTCCATATGTCTTCAACTCTTCAACTCTTCAACTCTTCAACTCTTCAACTCTTCAACTCTTCCAACCCTTCTACCTACTCACACAATCGCAAACCTGTGAATCTAAAATCATTATAATCTCCAATACTCTACAAGATCAATCTCAGTCACTCAATGTCGAAACCTGATTAATAGCTAGAAGCTAGTAACTAGTAGATAGTAGCTAGTAGATAATTCATGACTTATTTACTCTACCTGATTTCTTTTGGGGGGTCTTCGTATGGTAGGGTATGGTTTGGAATGGAAGGTGGGTTGATTTGGTGGGTTGGGATTGGGGTTGGGATTGGGATTGAATTTTGGTTGGATGGGATTTTGTTGGTTAGTTTGAGGTGTGGTATTATAGTGTACAGTTTGTGAGAAGGGAGATATGAGATGTGAGAAGTGGGAAAGGAGATGGTGTGTTAAGTGAGTATGAGTATTGGATGTGGTTGGGTGTCACAGCGTCTACGATATGTCATTATGGTCTTTGAGTAGGCATTCATGGATAGGATAATAAGGTGTTGAATATCAATATCAATATTGATACTTGTTGATTGAGTTGGGTTCAATTTGTTGTTTGATGCTAATGATGATGATGATATGACGAGAAATTATCGGGTTGTTTCGGGATGTATATCGGATATTGGATATTTTTTGTGTTGTGTTGTGGATATGGTTGCGGCTTGGATGTTCGAGTTTATGGGAATGAATTACTGTAGCTTGTTTTGGGATGGAAAATTAATTTGAATGGGTCTTTGGGATGCTGGAAGGTTTGGTGGACTAGAGTTGGGATATTGAGGTCTTGTGTTTGGGTGTTTGGACTCATGTCTGAAGAGGGGAAGTGGAGAGAGAAGGAGAAATAGTCACGGTGGGCAAAGTTGGAGTGGCTTGTGGATGATGGGATATGGTGAGGGGAGAGATAGATAGTGGGAGGCTAGGAGAGGCTAGAGAGGGGCCAGGGAGGGGTTAAGCTTGGAGAGATGGTCATGGTTCCCTAAAGAATGATCTTTCGGTATGTGGAAATCTTAAGAGGTAATGGGAAATGGTATATTCGTAAGTAAAAAGTGGTTTTTTGGGACTGTACTTGGACTTGGAAGGGATAGAGATGAATCAGAAAGAATTAAGAAGGACTGAAGGGAGACTGAAGATATTATAGAATTGGAGAGATGATGATGATTCAGGCTTAGGAAGATTTACTTAGAAGTGTGTGGCTTTATTCTATCGAAAAATGATATATTAGTAAGTATCGTATTAACTGGTTAGGAAGATATTATCTTATAATAGAAAAGTTTGAATTTCCGTACTAAGGAAAACCTATATGCTAATAAAAAGATAATATCTTATAATCCAGACCATGACTAATTTTAAATAATATTATAATTTCAACATAATTTCAATTATTTCAATCTTAATTATATATTTGTATTAGATTTTATTATTGGAATAATAGATTTTATTATTAGAATAAAATCCAAAGTAGAATAAGAGTTTTAAACTAATTCTTTTTTTAAAAAAGCCCTAAACTTTGAATATAATTTCACCGTGACCATTAAACCATTAATATATTATAGAGAATGAAAAAGGTTTTTGGTAATATAAAACCATACGCTGCTATCCAATTGAATAAACTGATAAATAATACCTTCCTAACCAGTTAATATGGTAAGTACTGCTTAGCGAAAAATCGGATTGGCTAAAAGGGGCTAGAAATGTACCAGATAAAAGCTAAAGACACTCTATTACTTATCATTCGCCAAAAACAATTTTTCTCACGCGGAACCATGTACTATTGCAAGCTATCTCTCCGACTGGCGGCTTGGTATGAAAGGTTCCCGGGAATTGTTGGTTTTGGGGTGGAAATCAGGTTGGAACTAGGCTAAGAAAGGTTTAAGGTGGGAAACTGGTTGGCCTCGACTTGTAGGCTCAGGGGACTAAGGACTAGACTTACAAGCGAGGCTCTTTTCGAAGGAATCTCTCGACATCATATTTGGATTGTTTACTTCTCATATCAACTGTTTACATGCTCAACTTTGTTACTCAACTCATCTCAATTTTGAACACAGATACCAACATTTAACCGCTCTCAATCGTCGACATCAATACCAACATTTTAATCTTCAGTATCAATTTGAACATTTGAGCACTCTCACCCTACAATACCAATACCAATATTCAACTCCACAATCACGATCACAGCCACAGCCATGAGCCGCCTCCCCGATCTACCCCAACGATTCCCACCAACTCCTGAGATATTGCACTACACACCGCAACGTTCAACTGGCAAAACGAACGCCGCAGAGACGTCAAGGAATCAATGGCGTGCTCATCGACAAAAATCCCAATCAAATCTGTCTCGAGTCGAAGCACACACCTACCCTCAAACAATGACTGTCAGAGAAGGATTTATCCAGTACTGGGCCGACATATCACATGAGGAGATGGTAGCTTTGATACCTGGAGAAATTCTTCCTCTCTTGCAGAAAAAGCTTCGACAGTTATTAACAGACTTGAATACTGATTTGAAGGATCGAGACAGGGCCTCTAAACCTGTGGATTTCGAATATGAATTTTGGAGATATTGGACAAACATGTCTGATAAAAAGCTGGTGAATTTAGTGAAGGAGATGGAAATGATGGATGTGATAAAGGAAGAAGCTCGACGGGAATTTATGAAGGGAGATGGGCACAATTAGGGGAATGGATGTGGGTGGAAGGATGTAGGAGAGATGGTGTTTTGGTATATTACGCGGGGTTTTGGACTACTTGGGGACTACTTTGGGTGTTATTTTTTGCTTTATATACTGGGCTTGTCAGTTGTATCATTTGTGTATTTCTTGTTGTTGTTTTTGTACACTGTCTACATCAGTAATTTATATGATTTCGGATAAGAGTTGTGATCGAAGTTAAGCTGTGTCCAGTACCACCACATCTCATATATTTCATCCTTCGTGACTTTCTCACCTTCCGTCATGACTTGAACTTTAAGTTCTTGCAAATATTCCTATTCCTATTCCTATTTCTTTCCTATTTCTACATCAACTCCAAACTTCTTACCTCCATAGCGAAACGATGAAGTACCCTTACATTACTGTCTTTTCATCCCTACAATCTAAACCTAAAGCTAAAGTCAAAGAAGAAAGAATGAAGAATGAAGTTACCTACAAACAGCACCCGTCATCTACTCGAATATATTTATATCGTTACAAATTCAACTCACTCACTACTCTAATCCTCTCAAGTACAGGTAAATACCACGTCTCGTCTCATTCCATCTCATGTTACTCTTCACATATCATTTCAAAAAGCTCCAAAAGTAGCTCGCACATCTAGTCTCCAAAACAAAAATTTCAAATACCGAGTAGCCACTAACAATCAGTCACCAAAGCTCGCCATACACCCCGTCCTAAAAGTCTCGGTGAGTCTCCATTCTTTCCTTTCAAGATATCATATTCTATTCCATGTCCAGAGAAATTTTCATACCTTCTCTACCTTCCTATCTATCAAACTTGCGGGGGTTTCAATATGAGAATACTCCGCTTGAATAGGAAAGAATGAGTTGGGTAATAAACAATGAGGATATGATGTGAACTTTATACATGTCATCTCCACTTTCTCATCACAACTTATACAATCGGAGGGAATAATCTTCATTTTCATCTTTGTTTTCTCTCCCATCTTCTATTCAAATTATTTTCTATATACTTACTTTATAAGATATGATATAGCGGTACTACTACCATTGCCATTACCATTTTCAAATAAAATGAAATAAAATAAAATAATGACCCGCCATTCTATTCCATCGCATATCTTCTCAACTCTTCTCAACTCTTCTCTCCTCTTCTCTCCTCTGCTCTTTTCTTCTCTACCCATGATCTCTCTGTACCTACTCACCCATCTATAAGATCCTCCCCAGAAAGTCATACTCAAACTCAAATTAAACCCAACCCATCCCTTCATCCCTCCCTTCCTTCCCCTTCCTCTCCTTTCCTCTCCTCTCCCCAACCCAGCCCTAAAACACATTATCTATCTCTACCTCTTCTTCCACCTCTATCTCCATCTCCATCTTTATCTCCATCTATCTTTTTATTTGTATTTCTATCTTTATTTTTATGTTTATTTCTACCTCTACCTCTACCTCTACCTCTCCCTTTCCCTCTCCCCCTCCCCCTACCCCTCTTTCTCACACTCCAAAAACTCAATACCTGCATACCTCCTTACATACCTACCTACTACCCCCTACCACCCACTAAAACATAATAAAACACTTCTTCCAATCATCTCCATCAGCCCATCAGCCCAATTACCCCCATCGCCCCAAAGTTCAGAGTTCAAAGTTTAAAGTTTAAACTCAACCAAGGTAATCAATCTAATGAATCGAATCTAATCAAATCTCTTCTCATCAAATCTAATTTAATCTAATGTAACTTAACTGCTCACTCTCACTCTCACCTAGCACTCTCATTCCAGAACCCATCTTGATCTGATCTGATCATATCCGATCTGATCTTACAAGTTACACCCAACTACTCGAGTAGACTAAAATAGTCCGAGTCCGATGTTGTATGTAATCTCAAGAGTTAAAAAGTTAATATATACACATTGCACATACACAAGCCATGAACATCACAGATTTATTTTCTTCATTTGAATTTATTTTACATGTACAATATAATAACATACATTCCTTCCTCCTTCATCTCCCTCTCCCTCTCCCTCCTCTCACAACCCTCCTTCCTCTCCCTCCTTCCTCCATTTCCCTTTCCGCTCTCACGCTAATATTCCACGATACATTCCTTCCCCCACCTCTCTGTTTCTCTGCTCCTCTGCTTCTCTGTATCTCTTCTCCTCTTCTATTTTAAACATCTTATTTGATATTCTTTCAGCTTTCAAATTATAAGAAAGAATCAAATCACCCACCCATCAACTCCCCTCACACTGTATATAGCTGTAGGTCAAAAAGAAAAACGCCCTAAACATGCATTTTTAATCTTCTTCCCCTATCCATTTTCCCTCCTTCCCTCTTTCCAACACTCTCACCCTCTCACCCCCTTCCCTCCTCCCCCCTCCCCCTCCCCCAACTCTATCTGCGAAAAAGAAAAAAAAAGAAAAGAAAGAAAATTCAAAGAAAAAATTCAAAGGGGGTATACTTCAAACAACCAAGCATGGTACTGTACATAAAACAATTCAAAACACCGCCTGACTTCCATCCAAGTGACTCCATCCATGTAAAGTAAGTAAGCACCATCTTCCCCCGCATACATACGTAGAAGACCATGCTTATTATATACTCCCCGCTATATCCACCTCTCCACTCTCCCACCACCTACTTACATTTTAGTCAAGCCACCACCGGGAAAAGCTGCATCCTTGTCATTTCTCGCTCCGACATCCGCTGAGGATACTAAAACTTCACCCCTGTCTTCCGTGGACGCTGTTGCCAAATCCGCAAGACGTTGGAGACCTTGATTCGCTGCCGCAATCATGTGTTGATTATCATCTACCTTTGCATTGACACTCGAGCCGCCTGTGGTTTGTTGCGCAACAAGTGGACCTTGACCCTGACTACCAGATGATCTTCTCTGGGCTCCTATATTCTTGATTACGAAATCTCGGATCGAGGCATCCCATGCAGAAGCTGCGAGACGACCTTCAAGGAATGTTTTTAAGATGTCTTCAGCTGCCTTCTTTGTAACTTCAAATCGAAGGAGGTTGGGGAGTGCGAGAGCTGCAAAGCATTTATAGTGATGTGTCAAGGGGGATCTCATGTCGCTATTGAAAGAGAGCTGACTGACGATGTAGTGAGCGGCTCTTACTTGTTCATCGCGGTCTTCCTGTGGTGTATGAAGAAGAATCAAGAGGTAAGCAGACCAGTAGGTGATGTGAAGTACAGGAGATTCGATGGGCGTGATACCAGATTTGCTGAAATCGCGACACCACAACTCGAGCTGAGTTCTGAGAAGTCTGGTGTGAAGTCCACGATAAACCGCGTAGGTAGGTAGGTCAGTCGAGGCAAGCTTCACTTCCGAGTAATTTCCAATGACGATGGAGAGATCTGCATCATTAGTAAACGCTTACCACGTAGGGCGAGAGGATTGAACTTACTCATCAAATGGTATGCAACTTCTCCCAATAGAGCTCGATCGTCAGGATATACTTGTGCTGCCGAAGCAGGAATTTGTAGTGGACAAGTTGTCGTTGCAGCATTCCATCTCTCCATAATGACAAGACTCCACCAAACACGTCGCGAAAGCTTATCATCGGAATCTGGGTCGTCGTTCGACTTGTCAAGTGGCTTGTATGCGTGTAATTTTAAGGAGTAGGCAAAACCAACGGCAGTACCAACCCAAATAGATGGGGATTGAATCACGTCACCGTCTTGAATATCGCGAGGCTGATTGTTGGCCTCAATTGCCAACAGCATCATAATTTGAAGATACACGATATTCGTAGATGGAGAACGGATGGCTTTCGGATCATATGGGGATGTTGTAATGAGTCTGATGGCGTGTGTAATACCCTGTGGCTTGAGGGGAATTGCGGTGGGAAATGATCTGATTGCCGCGTATAAAGCCTCCCAAAAAGCATATCTGACTGGAGCAGAACAAGCAGAAAGCCTAGCGTTTAACCTAGCCTTGGTAAGAGAGAGCATAGGGTAAGTTGGGTGTATGAACTTGTAGTAACTGTATGTTGTGAGTAAAGTGTAATTCATGCCATTGATGGTTTTGAAAAAATTGCATACCTCTCAAGAAGAGAATCATCGATCCATTCCACAGCATCTTCGCCATGCGATTGAGAGGTGTGAATGACTGCTTCAGCAGAGCTGCCTGCATCAGGTGCGTTCACCCATTTCTGCTGAGATACCATTGCGGTTGGCGAGTAGTTCTGCTCTCTGGTAGGTAATTGAGTAGAACCAGGTAGTGGTGCAGGATATGTTGGGTTCGGAATCGAAGACCGCGGTTGTTGATCTTGAGGAATCCAATTGGAAGCCGATCTCTGTTGTTGATACGGAGAAACAAATTCGCCGGCCCCGGAAACTGAGGAATAGCCGCGCTTGCGAGGAATCTGCTCTGGGTTCGGAGACGGAGAAAATTCTTCGGAAGGTCTTTGCAAAATTTCTTGTGCTTGCGGATATTGTTGAGGCATATCATTTCCTTGTACTTGACCCTCCAATGTATTGATACGATCCGCAAGCTCTTTGATGTAGCTATCACTTTGTCAGTGACTTCTCTTAGATCATGTTTTCTTCCTTTGATGTTCTTACCCTTTGCTTGGTCCACGCTTCATTGGTTGTCTGCTGAATTGACAAGTAACTCCAACTCTCTTACAGTTTGAACATACTTCTTCATTTCCTGTCTCATTGGAATTACATCTGATTTTCTTGCGTCGACATTCATCACAAGCTCTTGATACCTTTGATCTCTTTCTTCCAGCTGGAGATATAGAGCCATCATCGTATTGAGGTCCCATATCAATATGTCCTTGATTTATTTGTGGATGTCCTCCATGCATTTGATGATCTGACTGGTATTGATGGTTCAAGTTGATATTTGCTTGACCTCGAGGATCTGGATTCTCACTCATTCCACGAACTGCTCCCATATTTGGCTGCATGCTACGTGACAATTGAGCATCGGCAGATAATTGTTCTGCAAGTTGTAGCTCATCGGGAGTAGGCAGAGCTTGCTGATGTGGATGTTGATGTTGATTGGAGGAGCTTGGCCCGTAGAAAGGACCACCACTACTATCAGCGGCAGTCGCGTTAGGAGATGGATAGGATTGCATTGTAGGCGCGTCGTTATGATTCATATTTTTAATTTATCTTTCATCGGCGCAAGTAGAAGGAATGCTGTTAGTTTTCCTAATGTAAAAAAGTTAATTAAAGATATCGATCTGAAGTGCTTCCTTCGGAAAGCTGTCGCAGATATGGTTATAGTTCTGACATTCCCAAACAATGGATTTGCCTTCAATGAACTTACTTTCAAGATTTTCTGAAAGAGAAGATGTATGCGACTCTGATTATTTGGTTTGCAGTACAGTAAACAAGAAGATGCTCACTGTACAACGATCGGAAGTTATAGATTGTTGCTTTGGATGTGATGATGAATATGGAAATTTTCGGTATGGAAGAACTGTTGTCCGAGAAGCTGTACAAAGTAAGAAAGCTGAAGAGGCGACCGGGTTCCCTTAAAGCTTTATGGATTAATAATTAACCAATAGAATTAACAAGAGATAGACGCTAAGGATCAATTAGGTGGAACTCTTTCACACCTCGGCGATAATAAGTTCCGATGGGGTAAATGGTTAAAATGTCCAACCAAACAAGTCAAAAGCTTGAAGCCACCAATGAATGAATATTGATTTGAAGGAAATGGATGTTTCGGATATTCTTTGATGGGAGAGTAAGAAGTGGCTAAAGATCAAGGGAATAGAGAAATAGATGCAAATAACGGGAAAGATAGAAGGTAATAGAGAAATAGATGGAATGATTATCCCGAGAGTTGATTTATCCCTTCAATTGAACTATTTCGAGAATCGTATGAGTATACCGGTATCCAAGCTGTTTTTGCTTTTTCTACTTCCTCTGGTTTTCTCCCGTTCTCATATTGATTGATGAAGAGAGGCCCGAGAGAGAGAGATGCAGTCAAGATGTTGTTTCACAATACCTTGCTTGGACTATGTCACAATAGAATAACTCGGATAATTAGAGAACCTATCAATTATTAGCTATTTCATCTACTCGTCTATTGTTATATCGACCTACTTTCCTATACGAAGAGCACTGCGTTGATCTAGCTTTGAAACCTTCAAGTTTTGATCATTGATCATTGATGCTGATGTTTGTGGTTGCAGTTGCAGTTACATCAAGAACCCCTTCATCATTCTTCTCACTCGTATTTTACGAGGTCATGGTCATGATCATGATCATGATCATAAACAATATAAAAGAAGCTTCCTCGGCTGGTGATCTCTCCAAGCCTTGGAGATGGGGAGCTACAAATGTGTAAATATGGGGAATCAGGGTTATATAAAAGAATCAAAAGAGACCGATATGGAACAATATAAACACGAGCAGGTTAACCTAATTATCTCAGACAATTATCATTATAATATCTTCTAAGAAAGTCATGAATCTTTTTTACAACTATCTACCTACCAATCTATCTGGGGCCACATTGACCACACCCACAAATACTAATCAGCCTCCATATAAACAACTCGGGAGCCCTTGCAGAAAGGTTAAGATTTTGCTATATCTCGTACTGCTACACTCCTCCTCACTAGATCTCCTTTCCTCCACCCTGCTGATTCTCTCTTATTCTTTTGGAGACGAGCACATGCATTACAGAGATAATATCCCTCCAACCCTCCATTAACCCTCGATGAAATCTACCCGCATGTCAATTGATCACCCGCAACCCGTAGCTTCCATGGCACACATCATGTTGATATGATCTAGGCTAAACATGCTCTACTGCTCTACATAGCTCATACATCCCAACCCCATCATACCATCCAATCCCCAGCCCCTTCTCTCTCCCCAAATCAAAGCCTGATCTCACTCACCGGAAAAATGAATCGCCATTATATTATTCCGTCCGTTCGCGCCTACATACATACCTACATACACATACACCCACTTACAACCCTCTATTCTCATCATGCGACATCTACATCCTAATATCCTTAAATCATACCTTACCATAAATTATAATTCAACCCCGATATCATATCGATGTACTCTTAATGAATGTAATGTAATGTAACATTCAACTCCCCATCAGAGTACTGTAACCTTGTTATTCGTACTGAGTAATGATCAATAGTGCCGGTGCTGTATCATACCGGTATCATATCATGGTTAAGACAGTATATGGTATGTATGTGTGTTGATCTTGGCAATCAATCCTCATTTCGTTTCTTCATTTATTCCACTACCTCTATTCATCTATCTCTCACACATACACACACACACTCTCTCTATTATTAGTTTACTCTACTCTTTTCTACTTTACCTTACCTATTCGTAGGTAAATATGGTATAGTATAGCAAAGTATAAATCGTCCATACAATCAATACAATCCAACAAACATACCCTCTCCCTCTATACAAATAAGTAACTCGTCGAATCGAATTGATCCCCATCTCATCGCACTAATCTCACATCTCACCTCACTTCGGATCTTATCACCACCTTCCTCTTACCATCACCATCACCATCACCACCACACCGCACCAATTCCCCCATCCATCCAACATTTCACTTCCATTAATCAGTACCAACCAGTAAAAACCTTTCTCCTCTCCTCTCCTCCCCTCTTTCCCCTATCTTCTCTCTTCTTCCCTTCTCCCTTCTCCTCTTCCCTTCTCCCTTCTCTTCCCGTTTCTCCTCCTCCCCTCCTCTCCTCTCCCCTTCCCTTCCCTCCTCCCCCCTTCTTCTTCCCTCCTCCTCAGACAAGCCAAATCAAAGCACATACATACACATTTACAAAAATTACAACAATATCAACAATTCCCAAGCTCTAAACACACAAACACATACTCGAGTAAATATAAATATAATCCATTTTAATCCATTTTAATCCATTCCATTCTAAAGTAATCTAATCTGACCATGTAATGTATATAATAATCCATCTAATCTAATCCTAATCCATTTAATCTAACCCATCAAATCAGTCAGCAAATCCACCTACCTACTCGAGCTATGTATTTACAAACTACTGAGCAGTGAAATTTGAAGCTTGAAGCTTGAGCTTGGATCTAAAACTTTCGCGTGGAATGGATTGAACGCAATACACTCCCTGACTCTACTCCAGCATACCTTTCTTGAAGCATAAATACCGGTACCCGGTTCTGTACTCAAAAGGATGAATGGTACAAGTAAATCTAGGTGTTCAGCAAACCTCAAATCGTAATATTACTTTGGCGAAAGTGTTTATTGCCTAGAGATATGTTATACATACTCGAGTACTACCAATTCATAGAGTGACATTGGAATTATTATTTACTGGGTAGAAAAACATACAAACGCAACATTATCACTCCAGTCAGATACTTCATGTCAGGTGCATGCACAAGATGCACCATGACATTTTTGGTTATATAAAGGCCTGTTTGGCTCGGTAGTGTACGCAAAAGTGTACCACCAAAATCATTTTTCATACTCTATTACATAAATAAAAATGTATACTTTTCAAAAATCCGTTTGGCTCAAATTAAAGAATGTATACAAATTTATATATTTATAAATGTATTATATAAATAAAACATATTTGAAAAAGCTATATTTGAAAAATATAAAAATTGAAGAATATATATTTTCACTAACTTATCTACTCTAATTCTCCAATATCATCTAATAATTTGATCTAATTTTACAATCATGATGTTGCCATTATTGAAAAAAAAGGAAAAAATACAATAAAAAGCTTCTAATAATGATTTCAGTATTATCTACAATTGTAGCCACTATTTATTATAAATGTATTTTCTATGAATATCCATAATATATTTTCAAAATATCTGATATTCAATGGATGTACAAATTAGTTTTTGAATATTCTGAAAAAATCAAGAACAATCTAGGGATTTCCTAAACTGAATTTTTATTATTAGAAGATCAGTTGATCAAGATAAAAGATATAATAAGTATTCGATATATGTCTA